CGATCCCCCTCTCCCTCTCCGCGGACCCCTCGCCTACCGGTTAGGACGCGATTCCCCCGCGTGACGTCATACCCCCGCGCCGGTTTCCCCTCGCCCCTCACCCCCCTTCAGAGGACCTGGGTTAGAACCCGCATAGCTATACTACTCGCGACAGGTGCTGGTTTGTCCTAATGTGAAGCCATGGCAAAGCTTAGAACCATCCAATCCCGTACTGGAGGATGTTATGTATCCAATTAAAAGCTCTCGAGCGAAAATATAACGCTCATAAAAGAAGAAACCGATAGGAAGGATGACCACATGCAACTCTCAATCAACAACAATCTGAAGGAAAACCCAGATAGCAAAGGACACATGGTTTTCGATCCAGGAATCCAGAAACCATTTTTAACCCGTAGCAGCCAGTCTAATGCTACGGAAGTGTGCGGATATTTACGCGCAATAATTTCCGACAGTAAGATATACTCTGTCGGGATTATAAAAGCGAATGTTAATGTTCGCATAAATACAGACAATTTCGAGTCCACGATTTTCGTGGAAACCGAAATATTGAACAGCGAAGAAGCCTATTTTTTTCCCGGAAGATTGACATGTAGTGAGGAAAACGACTTGTCGAAGAAGAAAAACGAGGAAGCTGCCATTCCACCAGTGACTTCGAGCAAACAACTGTCGCTCGAAACAAGAAGAGGAACAGACAGCGAAGGAAAGCAACCGACGACCCAGACGTTGCAGTCCCATTCAGTGAATAAAAGTGATAGCGCGATTTGCGACTCAAAGATCATGATTCTCTATGAGAAATGCGTAAATCCGCAAAGAAATGTTAAAGGTGCGAACAGTGTGGCGAATGTGATACCGGGTAATATAAATACCTTTAATCCGCGTAATTTTAACATTCCGTGTAAAGCGAGCGAGAAGAACACGCCAAAAAGAGACAGATTTAGAGACAATACGCTAATTTTAAGATTAAATCGCGGACAAAGTGGAAAGGATGCATTTACGCGGTATCTAAGTCTAAAAAAACTAAATAATAGCGATAAGTGCTTAGATAATAAGTCCGTAATAATAAATTCACAAATTCAAGAGAAATTTAGCTCTTCTAATAAAATAGAGATTTTATATTTTTCTAATAATAGCGAAGAAAACGACGAAACTGAAATTAATATCATAAACAGATTATATAATAATATTAATAAATGGATACAAAAAATGAGAAACACAACGCGATTAAGTTTAGAAGGAAATAACACGTTGTACAATTTAATCGAATTAAATCAAAACATAAATACATTACGCAAAGACAAAGAAGAATTAATATCTCTTGAAGATTTAAGTTTACAAAATAGATTTAAATTAAATAATAAGAACATCAATTGTACTGATAAAATAAATAAATCTTTTAGTAGATATATAAAAAATTTAGAAAATAAGCTAGATATAAGAAGAAATCGCGAGCAGAATGAAAGAACATTAACAAGCGGCGACATAAAGACTAAAACGCCAACGATCGTTAAAATTAACGATTTAATTTTAAATAATTATATAAAAAACACAATCTTTATAAAAACGTTAGAGTTTAAGAAACCTCGTTTAATTAGTGTAAAAAACATTAATCACTCGTATATAACACTTTATAATACTGCCAATAAGTTAGAGATAAGTGAAAGTCCAGCGGGACAAAACAACGAGCTCAGCATAAAAGCTCAGATATGTAAAGAGTTTAAATCTCCAAAAGAGCTGTTGTCAATTAGCCAGATTGACATAAAACAAAAAATTGGCAAGTAAACAATCCCAAAAGTGGCCTTCAGGAGAAGAAGAACATTCCTCCTGAGAAGACATCATCAAAAAGGAAGCGGCCGGACGACTGAGAGTCCAGCATCAGCATCCCGAGACCTAAAAGAATTTCGTTGATCTCGGCAAAGTCTTTTGGAGAGGGCAATGAAGCCGGGAAGGAAAGCTACCAACCCCGCAGTTCAGTAACACAGCTAGGCCAGCAAATCAACATTCCGAGACTTAAAAGAACTTCGCCGATCGCTATGTTCTCGGCAAAGTTCTTTGGAGAGGGCAATGAAGCCGGGGAGGAAATCCACCTGCCCTGCAGCCCCGAAACCCAGCGAGGCCAGGAAATTGGACGAGACGACATTGGGAAAGAAATCCCGAGTCTCCAGACCGTCCCGAATAGTGAAGAGGGCGAAGAATCTGAAATTTATATTGTACGACAGCTCAAGTGAATCCGAGCATGATTCTAGTCGGCTGATTTGTCATTATAATTAATAAGATATTATAAAAGCGAAATGTAAATAGAAAACTGAGATTTTAGAGTAAAAGTGTAGCGGCCGAGGTACTACACCAAAAGTGCAGTTCACCTGTACTTTTATAGAATAAGCTATAGTTTTAAGAGAACGTGTATATATAGTTTTACCCTGTATATAGTACGATGAGGTAATTTTAAGGAAAAAGCAATCCGACCGATTTTTGAACATTTACACCCGTTATGCAGCACATTGTATAGCTGCACATATAGTATAGCATAAGACACGCGCACGCACAGGGGGCGTGTTCTAGAAGAGAGGGAACATCGAAAGCGGAGGAAAACCAAAGAGTGGGAAAGATATAAAAGGCCGTGCAGAGAGAGATTCGAGACCTTTTTTCCCGAAACCGAGAGATCCGAAAAATCGTCTTGCGGGAGATTGTATATCGCTGTTGAGAAATCTTTCGAAGTAAAGATACGCGAGTGTACAAGAAAAAGGACGGCCTTTTTCCCGAAACCAAGCGTCTGAAAGAAAATACGTCTTGCGGGTTTTTTAAGTATTGAACGTTGAAGGTGATAGTCGCGAAACAAAAATCTCGTGCGTGTTAGAAATTCGCGATAGAAGATATAACAAAAGGCAGTATTGTTTTATAAGCGCGATAGTTCTCCGAAGTGTGGAGATTCGCAAGAGAGCAAACATTTTATACGCGTTTATATATTCTCTTTCAAATATATTTTATACTTTTTATATATATACTAAAAAGTAGAGTGAAAGTAATTTACTTACCTCAAACCTGAAGAATCCTTACCTGTGAACGTGAGTCGATCCAGCTACATCCATCGGGTAGTCCAGAAATCCAAGGGCGTTGATCCGGCGAATCCAGCGGCGACCTGAAACAAAAGGAAAAGGGATTAACAGCGAAAGAGAACATTTGTCCAACAGCATAACGTTGCACAAATAACGTTGTTCCGACGTATTCCTGAGGCGTCGAAATAGTTTTCATCCAATGGGTAGTCCAGAAATCCATGGGCGTTGATCCGGAGAATCCAGCGACGACCTGAAACAGAAAAGGAGAAAGAAATTAGGAAAAATTCCCAAGCAGCCAAGCGGATAAGCAGTGGCGTTGATAACAGCGCGATTCTGACACTGTGCAACCTGTCCGACGGCAGACTTGACGGGACGTCGTCCGGGGCATTCCTTGTTCGTTGGCGGCCAAACGAACTGGCGACCGTTTTAATAAGGTAGGAAAACCTGCAATTTGAGTAGATTTCTCCATCTCGCGTGTTTAGTCCGGTCACAACCTAACCTTTTTTTTTTAATCGTTTGGAGGGGAAAATGCATTTACGCACCGTACCCCCGGGCAGGCCCCGGGGCGTGTGTGGGACTCCTCCGCGACAATATGCCGCAGAAACTACCCACTAAACCCCCCC